TCTGTGTTCGGTTTTGAGCTCCTCACTACAACAAAGACATCGAGGTGCTGAAGCGTGTCCAAAGAAGAGCAACGAAGCTGGTGAAGGGTCTAAAGCACACAAGTCTTATGAGGAGTGGCTGAGGGAACTGGGGTTGTTCAGCCTGGAGAAAAGGAGGCTGAGGAGAGACCTTATTGATGTTTACAACTACCTGAGAAGAGGTTGTAGGAAGGTGGGTGTCGATCTCTGCTCTTTTTCCCAAGTGACAGGATGAGAGGAAATGGTCTCAAGTTGCACCAGGGGAGGTTTAGGTTGGATATAAGGAACAATTCCTTTACCAAAAGGGTTGTCAAACACTGGAACAGGCTGCCCGGAGAAGGGGTTGAGGCACTATCCCTGGAGGCATTTAAAAGAGGTGTAGATGTGGCACTGAAGGACATGGTTCAGTGGTGAACTTGGCAGCGTTAGGTTTATGGTTGGACTCTATCTTTATGGGTCTCTTTCAACCTAAATGGTTCTATGAATCTAAGTCCCTGGGGCCTCATGGCATTCATCCATGAAGGAGATAAATGTTACAGCAGGACGCTCTGGATCATCTACCAAAAGTCTGAGGAGCCTGGGGAGGTCCCTGCTGACTAGAAACTCTCCAAGGTTACTCTAATTTATAAGGACGTGAGGGCAGACCTGGGGAAACTACAGACCTGATCTAGTGGAAGGTGTCCCTGCCCATGGCAGGGGGTTGGAACTGGATGACCTTTAAGGTCCTTTCCAACCCAAACCATTCTGTGATTCTATAATCCCATGGATATACTATGTCCTGGTCTTGAATTACAAGGGCTTTGGGATCCTTAGGATTGAGAAGCGCGTGAAGAAGATGACAGGATGAAGTGTGAGAGTTACGACTCAGTGACTCGAACTTAAATGTAAGAATCCAACTGTTTTCCATACTCCAAGTGAGGTAGGATTGGGTGAGGTACTGATCAGCTCATCCCTAGTGCATCCATGGCTGTTAATTTGTTTGTGTTTAGAGTTTGATCATTCCAAGTCGGGCTGGGTGAGCAGGGACTTTGGTTTCCCACACGAGGGTGCTGTCCACATTGGCAAAGGCCACACTGGAGGTTTTCCAGTGGACCACGTCATAACCCAACATCACACCAGCTGGACCACAGCCCAACTGACCGTCGGGCCCCGTCAGAGCTTTCTTTGGATGTGGTGAACAGGATTTCAGAGGGTGACTCTTTGCTAGACGATAACTGGAAGACTTGTTTGACATCTGAATGCAATCTTGTCTTGCTCACAGTGGTGGATAAGTGATTATATTTAAAAAAATTCTGGTTTTCTTCCTCATAAATACATTGTAATATGAACACTAACCCATCAGGACTTCAGCAGCCCATGTTCTAAAATAATAAGTGATTAAGTACCTCAGGTCCTAATCATTTCACAAAACAACTTGAAGCCTGATAGTTAGAGACTGTGTCCATCTCTGTGTCTCAGCCCCCTTTGGATGTCTCAAGGTACATAACCCTGAAAGACTGGTGACTCTGCTCTCCCTGCAGTGGGGCTGAGGGGCAGTGTTCAGCACTCCCACTCATGTTATACCTCTGTAACAGAGAGTCACAGCTAACCTCCCCAAAAAAAGTCAAATAACACCCTGAACACAGCCCTTTCCTTTGCTCCAGTGGTCTTAGATGGTTTTGCTTCCCGCCTGCATACGCCGAAATGAGCTGATCAGTACCTCACCCAATCCTACCTCACTTGGAGTATGGAAAACAGTTGGATTCTTACATTTAAGTTCGAGTCACTGAGTCATAACTCTCACACTTCATCCTATCATCTTCTTCATGCACTTCTCAAGCCTGAGGATCCCAAAGCCATTGTAATTCAAGACCAGGACATAGTATATCCATGGGATTATAGAATCACAGAATGGTTTGGGTTGGAAAGGATGGCCCAGCCCCATCCTTTGCAAGTCAGTGGGAGTTTCTAAATACAGACACTGCAGGTCAAGCACTGGTTTGAGTTGGTGTCAGTGATGCTACACGATGAGCTACAGGACCACTACCCGCACATAGGAGCAGAGGGATCCCTCCAAGGGGCTATGATATGGTCAGAGATGCCCTACTGCCTCGTGCAAGCACATTCACCCACACCTTTGCCCAGATATGAATCTGTTGGTGGCAACCTGGATACTGGAGCAGAAACTGTCTTCAAGCCATCAGTCTGCTACAAGCTTGATTGTTGGTTGCTCGATTGGAACAGAGCAGGTGTAAGTGAGAAAACTCTGCCAGTCACTGTATTTGTTTTTAAATTGTTAAAATTTCTGCGTTTATAACCGTGTTCATCACAACCGTGCTGCCTACAGCTTGAGAAAAGGCTGGAAATAACGAGCTGATGGATGATATTTTAGTAAGATGAGAGAACAGGTTGAGGTGCTCCAAGAATGCGTTATGGCATGCTGCAAACAACAATAGTACACACGAGCTCTGCTCCCAAGACTTGAAAGCAAGAATGATGGGGTGGGATTTTTTTTTTTTTTGGCTTATATAGCACAGGAGGACAGAATAGATCATCTTCAGGATTATTTTATTTTTCTTGGCCTTAAAATCTACACAGCTGCACTGCAGTGATTCCAAAGCTGTGGTCCACAGTATTCGCTCTTTCTCCTTGTTTTGACTGAAATAATATGTATTTTAACCACTGTTTTGCCATATAAAAAGCAGCTGTAATTTGCTGAGGGACCTTATTTTTCCCCCCTTTTTTTTTTCTTCACTTGCAAAGAAAACTCTGGGTTAAACTAAACACATTCATTGGTGACAAAAGATGAAGTGTGGAACTGCAGAAATGGGTTCCAGCATCATCCACTCAATATAGGCTGCTATATGTCCTGCTTGATGCATCATGTTTGGGTTTTTGGAATATAATTGTAGCTGTATGGGTTCATATAGGTATTTAAAATTGTATTTTAACACAGGTGATGGAGCAGGTGCTCAGGCATGAAATTAGCAGGTTTGTTGTAAAGAGTTTTAGGAGAGTAGTAGAGGTGAAAGAAGAGGTTACAGGCAAAAAGCAAAGAGGGGAAACATGAATGACAAGAAAAGGACCAGAAGCTGGTTCAGTCAGGCGATGGGAGGAGAGA